GTTAGTCCATTTATAAAGGTAAATTTATACTTAAAGAACTAAATTAATAAATCAATAAATGTTCGTCAAGCTAGAACTAGACGACATATATGTTTGAAAATGGGTCATTGGTGTCTTTTAATGTGTTCTTATTGAAATTTATCTATTTCAAACTTCCATAAAATAAACTTAGTCAACGAAAAAAAAAAAGAAAAAATTGTAAAAGAACGAAATTGTAAAAAAAAGAACTTCAAAAAAAGACTACAGAGACCGTTGAGAACTAAGGTGGAATACCTAACAGCCTGTAATTATACTGGCTCTGCATATCATTCATGGAAGAACACAATGGACGACAGATATAGATAAGAGGGTGGACCTACCCAGACCGACACCTGGGCAGAAAATAAATTGTACCGGCCAATAATGATTGACTGACTGATGATAAGGGCAACGGATTGGCTCTCACAAACCCTTGCCCGACTTGTTATGGTCTAGGTCGTGTTCCGATATACTCTGTGAGCACTGTTCAGTGCTCTCGCTGATGAAAATTCGTTCAATGGAACGGCAGTTCGGTGCGGCAGTATACTGGGAGTCTGTAATGACAGACTCCCAGTATACTGCCGCAGTATCCTAGGGAAATAAATGACATCGTGAATCATACTACCGTACAATCATAAAAAATCAAAAGATAAAAAAGTATGGCACTTTATCCACGTCCAAGTCATACTTAAAAAAAGAGTTGGTCTGTGACTTGTCGAAAAGCTTTATTGTTATATCGACGTTAAAAATTTATTTATCGAGTATATTGCACAGCCATGTGGTGACCGCGTTACAAACAGAAACAGAAACTTTTTTATTTAATATAGGTTATAATTAATACTTATTGAATATCACTCTTTTGTTTAATTTAGCGCTAATTCTGAAAAACCTCTGCCTTGGGAAGAACCAGCAAGAAACCCAGCAAGATTTTTTTTAAATAACAGTTTATAAATATATATTATGTTTTTTTAATAGAAGAGGGGGCAAACGAGCATACGGCTCACCTGATGTTAAGTGACTACCGCCGCCCATGATCAACATCAACACCAGGAGAATTGCAGGTGCGTTGCCGGCCCTTTAGAATTATAAATATTTTGGTAGCTGAGTAGTAAGCTTGGTAGTAAGAAAATCATTTGTCCTAAGTGAATAAATTACTTTATATAAATTTCATGTTTGTAACAAAAAAAATAAACATAGATGATAAAAATATTTTTAATTTACAAAGGAATATTTATTACACAAATGCTAATTTAATTATTATTTTACGTTTTATATTTTTAATGACATGTGATGACAACAAGCGTAGTAAGTAAAATTAAAAATTTTGTAAAACCGACTTCAACATAAAAAAAATGAAAACATCATCAATGTTAGTCGAAGTCAATAATTAAATACGCATTATTAAGGATAACTCAAAAACTACTGGTCAGATCTTGGTCTAATTTATATGGGTCAACAAGAAACGCAGCTGCTCTCATATAGAAAAGTCTTTTAAAAATATCAAAATCGTTTCACCTAAAAAAAGTTCTGAAGTAACACATATAAAAAATACAGTCGAATTGACAATCTCCTCCTTTTTGAGAAGTTGGTTGAAAAAATGACCTTTGATTAGTTTTCTCATAAATTGTACATGCCAACACATTAGAAAATGGTTTAGCTTCGTTATATTTTTTAATTTTCAACCTAAGTATATATTGCAATTTATTATTGTATTATTAAAATGTAAATAAATATAAATATATACCTATATAGAAATATAAATACTTGAATTTGAATTACTTACGCCACAATTTTGCATACTATATTTTCATAGCAATATTATTCATAACGACTAAGATTAAAGTGTAATATCCTAACATAACTATCAACCTGTTTACCGATTCTATTCTGCCAACATTTCTCGTTTAATCTCATTTTCCCTCATCTAGCAGCCACAACTCAGCAAATTTATTGACGGCGTTGTTATAATATCTTAAATTAACTCCTTATGTTGACGAAAATAAATTCACTTACGTTGCTTTCTTAGTGATAACTTTATGAGAAACTAGGCAAACATAGTTCACACGCACGCTTATGGTATTACTGGACCTTATATTCACTTGTGTGGTGGCGCCATAAGAGAATCCACTGCCCCATATCATCACATACGTGACGTAAGAGGCAACAGAAGTAAATAAAACAGGAGAGGATCAGCAGCGGCAGGAGCTTTATGTGGTAGAGAAACGCTGCAGCTATATTACGAATGTAGCACAAATGGGACGGCTCGATCGGGGTAGGAGCAAGCTCTCACAGAATGCCAGTGTAAAATAACAGTTTGATGCTGCTGTTTGGTCGTATGGTAAATGTTAAGAACCGGAGACCCTTTTTATTGGAATCGGGGCATTCCAATTCAGTCCTCAGATGTGATAACGCACATGCATGTTCATTCTTAATTTAGTATCTTTATAGGTCACAGCAACCACTTACCATCGGGTGGACTGTGCGCTCGCTTATCACCCTTATTCAATACGAAAATCTATTAAATAACAACACAACCCAAGCGTGGCAACTATGGCAAATATACACGGGAAAGGCCAATGTTAAGCTGTGGATTTTTGATAGGCTGTAATTAATTAATAGACACCAACATCAGTTCTCAAATTAAAAAAAGAAGTCTTGTCCTCCCTCGAAGGTGACTAAGATGGAATGCCCGGTTACCGGTCTCTGGCCACCTGCACAGTCCACATGATGGTAGTTGGATGCTGTGGCCCAAAAAGATCTACATTTATTCTCAACTAAGAAATAAAATGCAGATGCATTGTCACCACTGAGGACTGATAAGGAATGCCTCGTTTCCAGTAAAAAGGATCTGCGGTTCTCTACACTCAACATACAAACCACAGCAGCATTAAGCTGCTATTTTACTTTGGTATTCATCATTTTTAGTATATGATGAATATCAGCCATACAATAAATTTCGGTATAAATCTTACGAAACATTTATAACAGCAACTTTTTTAAGACAATGCCAAGCAGCACAACATCGAACTGTTGACAATACTGTTTGAAATTCCGGTCTAATCATCAGCCTCTATGACGATATGGATAAGGATTAGCCACGTTCAAATTGATATAATTTATTACAATTCGTTGTTTGACAGAACCTTGTTGGTTGACAGATGATGTACTGGTTTCAGTTATATTTTCTCTTTAACCTGTACTTATTTTTATTTTTATTTTTGGCTAGCTGTTCTCCGCGACATCCGCATGAAATGGGTTTTGACTCTTTTTTACGCGGAAGCCTAATTGTATTTCAAAAATAAAAAAGAGGCCTAAGCTACTCCTGTAAATCAGCTATCAGCCAGTGAAAGTCCTGTCCGTTCTGTCCTCAGAATATATGTTAATGTCTATGTGCTACGGCATCCAGTTATAATCAGCTGGACTGTGTGTTCGGTTGTGATCCTTATTCTATATAAAAAGTTGATTTGTTTTGTTTCTATATAATAGTATTGACTATTGACTATGAAAATCAAAATATTCTTTGTCGAACCTGTGGGCCAAATTGCAATGCTTTGTTATAGCTTATAGAAAAAGGATCTCTGGTTTTCCACACTTACCATAAGAAACACAGCATTAGACCATATTGAACACAGTATTATTATTTTACACTGTTAATTAATCCCTGAGAGCGTAGAACTTCTCTGCTCGAGCCAACCCATTTATGCTGCAACCATAATACAATTAGAGCGTGACTATACCTCGGGCATCCTACTCTAGGGGATTTGTCTAAATCGTCACTCTTGACAGGCGTATTCACGATCACGGTGCCAGAGCGAACGAACGTCGTATGGAGAGTAGAAGTAAGGAGTACCAACTCCCATAGTAGAATAGTTGAAAAAATGTCCACCTGTAAGCAGTAAGTAACAGTTCAAAAACTCTTCACAACAGCGCTGGAGTAGCTACAGGGATGAAATGAACTTAGCAGTTGTCGACGGTTTAAAGTGTGCTCTAAAATATAAAATAATTTTATTTAGTAAATATAGGTCCTCTCCTATCCTAGAAAAGGTCGTCTATCTCATTAATATTTTTTCGGCACTTCTTTAAAATTTAACCCGTAGCTGTAGTGGCGCCACCCTTATTTAACGGTTTTCTATGGACACTTTTTAATACACAGTCTGTACTCCTTACTTCTACACTCCACAGAACGTCGGTTTGAGATATGGAGTGTAGATAAAGGAAAGGAGTACAGACTGTATAAAAAAGTGTCCGTAGGAAAGCGTTAAATAAGGGTGGTGCCACTGTAGCTAAAGTCTAAATTTTAAAGAACTTTTTATAATTTTTTATTGCACAGACTTTCACCATAATTCTTTTTTACAATAACTATTTTTTTGCTTTTAAAATTTTTATTTTCAAAATCACTCTCAATGTAATTTACGGTGATATATCATACACTGTAGTTATTCGAGCGCTGTTGTTGAGTTTTTGAACTGTTATTTACTGCTTACATATTTTCAGTTATTCTTCTATGGGAGATTGTCCTCCTCACCTCTATACTACATGGTTGAGTATTTTACGAGAGATTTATTTAAAGATATTTAGATATTTAAAGATCTTATTGCCATCTACTGGAAATTTATTCTTATTGTAAAGAGGTTGTTATACCGCCATCTACCGGTAATTATAAAATGTTTCTGTCGTTTCCTATACTTGTCTCTTACGTCACTTATGAAACCAAATGTGATAAATAATTTGACAATGATTTTATACATATTAAAGCTTATTGTAAAGAGATTGTTATACCGCCTTTTACTAGAAATTTACGCTTATTGTAAAGAGGTTGTTATACCGCCATCTACCGGTAATTATAAAATGTTTCTGTCATTTCCTGTACTTGTCTCTTACGTAAGTCAAAATCGTGTGATAAATTATTTTACAATGATTTTATACATAAATAAATAAAACTGGTAATCCTCCTAAGAATACTAAAATAAAATATAAGAAAATCAATATGTATACTGTTGTATGTATATAAATATGTCATTGTCATCGTCATCATCATCCTCATCGTCATAGTCATCTTCTTCGTCATCATCATCGTCGGCATTATCGTCATCATCGTCATCGTTATCATCATCGTCATCATCATCATCATCATCATCGTCATCGTCATCGACATCATCATCGACATCAACATCGTCATCATCACCGTCGTTATCATCGTCATTGTCACCGTCTACGTCATCGTCATCGTCATCGACATCGTCATCGTCATCATCATCTTCATCTTCCCCGCCATCATCGTCATTGTCATCGTCATCATCATCATCCTCATCGTCATCGTCATCGTCATCATCATCATCATCGTCATCGTCATCATCGTCATCGACATCATCATCTACATCGTCATCGTCGTCATCATCGTCATCACCGTCATTATCATCTACATTGTCATCGTCATCATCATCGTCATCGTCATAGTCATCATCATCGTCATCATGTCATCATCATCCTCATCGTCATCGTCATCTTCTTCATCATCATCATCTTCGGCATTATCGTCATCATCGTCATCGTTATCATCATCGTTATCATCATCATCGTCATCGACATCGTCATCGTCAGCGTCATCGTCATCATCATCGTCATCATCAAATTCGTCATCATCGTCATTGTCATCGTCATCATCATCGTCATCGTCATGGTCATCGTCATCGTCATCGACATTGTCATCGTCATCATCATCATCATCACCGTCGTCATTTTCATCGTTGATGAAGGACAGGGGTGAGATTAACCGTTTAAATGTCGGTAGGTATAGGTTTTTTTTCTTGTCGTCTATGACACCCGCGGTACGATAATTGTGTATTGGATATACTTTCACTACACTTTGACCTTGATGAAACATTTGTAAAGAAAATAGATTAAGGTGAATCCCTGACCAAAATGTTGCGAAAGTGCGTTTTTCAGACTCTATTATCTCATTAGTTATGAAAAATAAACTACATCTAAAAGTACATTATTAATGTTCGATATCTTATCATCACATTACACGTTCTAATTTATTTTTATGTGCTATAAATACATTTAAAATCAACTTTTAAAAAATGACTAAAATTCTTGATTACATGCATCTGTTGCTAAACGCAACGCTCTAATCATTTGAGGATAACACTAATGGATAGATAATTAAAAAATCTATATTCTCCACGTTTTATTTTAATTTTTAAGTTCGTTTTTTCTCTTTTAATTGAAATAATTCCGAAAATTGTGTGACTTCTATGATAAAGGGGCGTGCGCAGAGTGCGGGCGGCATTACGCTGTATGCGTTAGTAGGTGGCCGCGTCGCTGGTTGACGCGTTCCGTATTTCGTCGCAAACATAATATTATTTGAGTACCTACTTGCGGTATTGCGTCTTGTGATGGATCTGCGGGTGTGCTGCGCCTGATTCGACGCTCTCTTGTGGTTCTGGTCGATGGAGGTATACGGGTGGTGATGTCTGCTGGGATGTATGGGGGACCTTGGAATGGTGTAAGCCCGACGATAGTCGTATTGATGCTTGTTGCGTTCTGCAGCATTGCGTCTCTGCGATGGTTGTTTGGTGGGACGCTATTCTCAATGGAGCTCTCTGCGTCTTGGTTTGACTCACACCTAAGTAGCTTTGCCCAAGTCGGGTCCCTTCATTGCGGGGCTGCAGACTGTCTGCCCTCCACTATGTTTTATATAACAACATAATATTATATCTCTGTAACTTTCCCACCTTTGAATGATTGAAGGCAACTTGTTGGTGGGTGAGACAAACATGATCGAAAATGCATTTACTCAACGTCAGTGACACAAACCCTTTCTGATGGCGAATTATTACTCTTATCTTATAACTGCCTTTTGGCTATATCTGCCGTTGTATTGGTTGGTGGAGTATATGTGTCGACCTCATGCGTTTGGTAGCTGGCGGGATGATCTGAGGAGACTCTCAAGGCTGCGGCCGAAAGCCGTACAACGTGGGACCCCATTCCCTTGAGGTGAGCGGTAGACTCATGACACGCTCTGCGGCTAGTAGCCGTGCTGATCATGCAATTGGTGGTGATGCCATACACTTACATCACGTCTGCAGGAGCGGCGGTCTGGCAGGTGGTGGCGCTCACGGAGGGTTTACGGCCAGTGTGCCTATTTGCCTAAACCGTGTGACGTACATTCACTGTGGCTGGATTCGTTCGTATTCTGTATGGCGTTTACACGCATTGACATGCGCGACTTCGGTCGATGTTTGTGCTTACGCACTAACAAGGGGCCAAGCCTCTTTTACTGGTTCGCCAGTTATTTTGCTGTGGACTACGGTCCAGTTCCCGAATTAGCTTTCCCTTCGGGGGGAGTGCATCAAAATGGTTGGCACTCACCGTGCACGGCGTGTGTGGGGCCGTGTACCTCCCCCTACATTTTTTTTTAAATAAATGTAGGAGAGCGAAGCCCTTGTATCGGGTATTTTGTATAAATATATTTTGAGCCTTTTCCGAGCGGGAAGGGATAATTAATAATGTAAACCTGATACAAGCGGAATAGGGACGTTTTATGTTCTTAACCTTTTTTCGAGCCCTGTCTTCGTGAACGGGGTTCACTTAGCTTATAAAGCACTACCAACAGCTTTCAATTGCTCTAGTGAATATTCATTCTTCCAAAAGACACCTAAAAGAACTAAGTTACTAAACAAACACAACGTAAATGAGGGTCCTAACTAAGTCGATCACGCCAAAATATTACAAACGGCCTATTATTAAACCTTTAGAAAGATCAAAATATATTTTAATTATCTTGGTCACATATATATAATTTTATCGAAAGGGGGTAAATTAATTATACCTAATATTTATTATTATGAGAGGGGGGAAGCGTTACATCTTGTTAAGTTGCTTTTATGTAAATCAGTACAGGACTCCATTAGTTCTAAAGAGGAAGCGCTTTGATTTAAATTTATTGCGCTTAATTCTTGGTTTTTTGCCTTTGATATTTAGTATTAGGATATCACAACTAGTACTAAGATCCAGCTTGCTTCGCACGGATATGAAGCATAACAAAATAGTTGTTATAATACTGATATCATTCACCATTGCAGCCCTTCACAAGGCGAACCTGAGCCACCTGCATCCATCGACTACCTTTAACATTACGGATGTATAGGTTGGTTTCCTTTCGTCTCTTACCTATTTCTACAGTGAAATAGCAGAGCTTGCACTGCTGTGTTCCGTTCTGAACAGTATAGAAAGCCGCGTAGCGTGTTGCTACTGAGTTAAGCACCCAAAATGTTGGGAATTAAAAATAAGTTAAAATAGTTAATTAAACGCGATAAAATCCGTAAATATATTTTTATTCAATGTGTAGTGTTCGCGTAAATTTAAGAAATCATTATGTAAACCAGTACGGACTTGTAATAGCAAATAAAATTCGCCGATTAGAAAATCTTAAAACCAAGCGCGCATGATATATAACATCTTTAAAGGAGGATGGCCAAATTTCTATAGGAGCTGGACTTGACTTTTTTTTTCATGTCCCAAAACAAACTATAGTTAGATTGGTTTGTTTTTATGTTGTAAACACAATCACGTTTAAAAATAATATCTAAATCGCCACGATTTTTTATAATAACGTCAACAATATTTTAAGGCTGAATCAGCAAATACCTTTTACTTTTTTTATTGGCCATTTTATTAAAATATAACATTGGTATGTCAAAATTACAATCAATACAAATGATATAAGATTACATTAGATTATTAAAATTACAACTCAAAATACATTAACATTATTTTTACATGTCAAGCAAGTCAGAAAATGAACATTTCATATATTCTTCTACATTATAGAAAGCGTGATTCATAAATTATGTTTTTGTCACTTGTCGAAACGAAGTCTTGTTATTTCTTAAGGCAATTTATTGTACACTTTGATTTTTAACGACAAACCTTGCTTGGACGCTTTATCCGACTGCGACGTAGCCTAATAGTGTAGTTAAAATAATTATATTACCCAATAATAGGACATCTCTCAAAGCGCACCCTACGTATGTGCACCACACTCCCTAAAGTTCGATGTCAAATCAAAAAGGGCCGTCTGTCAAACCATCTCGTGAAGTTGACCGTTTCGACAACAAATTATAACCGATAATTCAATAAAAACTACACCTACAAGTATTGCACTAGCTTGCACAGTATGTAGTGTAAAAAACAAGGATGGCGCAATTATTATCACACGAAGTCTCCTAAAAGATTTCAAGGCTTTTTTGTAGTTTGACCATTTTAATTCTAGCTGAAGAGAGTTAGTCTCTAGATACCCACTGTCTTTCAGTTTTCAATGCTAAAGTTGCATATGTATTGAAAAATCGAGTAATGGTAGGTTACGGGAATAAATGAAGCGTAATGGTAGAATTTATAATTTAGAAGTACTTTAATGAAACAAGTAGGCTAGACAAAATTACTTTTTATTCATCATCCTCTCTTATATCTACAACATCAAGGAGTGATGTTGGCACTGGCGATATTGTCGGCTGATGCCTGGCCCACCCAAGGTACCACACAAGCGTCATAACATGTGCACATCACCCAACCGTCCTTCGATTCGATACCCTCTGTGAAACCTGACATGTTCACTATAATAGGACCTTTCCTGTTGAATCCATATGGTCCTAGTGCAAATAATATAACTTCATACATGCAGCTTAAAGCTCGTTGCAGTGTTTGCTAAATAAAAATATGTGGTGGAACCATACAACAACTATTTATCACACAATAATAAGGCATCTCCCAAAGCGCACCCTACATCTGTCCTATAAATCCCAAACATCATGTATAATATCACTGAATTTATTATTCTAAAAATCGTCGGCATTTTATAAGTCCTTTCTTAAAAATAACACAGTGGATAGGTGCAGTGCGGGCCCTTTGTTTATTAAAATATTCATTTATTAGCAAGTATAAATTCCAAACATCATTAAAATATAATGTCTAGAGATACTTACCCATTTATATAATTATAAATCAGAAGGAAAAGAGATAACAAAGGGTGCCAGAGCATTAAATTCAACTTTGCTCGGAGTTTATTTATAAATTACACATATAACATAATATATAACACAAAATAAAAGCACACAGTAAAATTGAAATAAGTAAAATAATCAACATTACAATTTTAATTGATCATTATCAATCATCATTGCGACAGTCCACTGCTCAACATAGGCCTCCTAAACTAAATATATAATGTAAAATATTACACAGGCCTTTCGTGAATTGCCACCCCGTCCCATAAGGTGTTGTAAAAGTCGACAGAGTAAAATAAAAATATCAGGAGATGGGCAGCGGCATCTCCCTATAGAATACCACAAAAAACTTTGGTTGCCAGAAGTGTAGCAACTATGGCAAAAATCATCATTAATATAAGAATATTAATACGGTTATAATCATCATTCTGTATTTTCAATATCATCACTTGATGGTAATATATCATATAAAAAAAGATGCAGGTGGATCAACCTCATCTCGATGCTATGCCCATGATAGAAACCAAACTAAAATAGCAGCTTAATGCTGCTGTGTTTCGAATGGTGAGTATAGAGAACCGGAGACCCTTTTTAATGGTAACACGGCATTCTATCTCAGTCCTCAGGACTGGTAACACATCAACATTTTGATTTTAAATTGAAGATAAATGAAGATGTCTATGGGCCACAGCATCCACTTACCATCAGGCGGACTGTCACCTTATTTCTATAAAAAAAGAGAAAATTACTTTTTATTAATCATCCTCTCTTACAACTACAGCATCAAGGAATGCTGCAGGTGCTGGTATTGTCGGCTGATGCCTGGCCCACCCAAGATACCACACAAGCGTCATAACATGTGCACAGCACCCAACTGTTCTTCTACCAACTAAAGAATTGCAGCAATACTCTATTATAGCTTCCCTTCCAGACAAATTATTTTCAATTAATATATAAACATAATGAACTTTTCTCGAAATGTGTCTGGATTTGATTTTGCCTCTTATAAGTGAATTATTTCCACTTCCTCTTAAACAATACTCTGTTACATTAATGTTTTCTCTGCTTATTTTAATTGTATACCCTCCGTGAAACCTGACATGTTCACTATAATAGGACCTTGCCTGTTGAATTTGATATGTTCCTAGGGCAAATAATATAACTTCACTATATTCTAGATCGGGGAATATAATATTAGTATTGGAATGAGCTGTAATACTAGTAAAATCAGATGTTCGTCTATTCATATTCATACTATTTATAAAATCAGATAAATTATTATTTAATGGAAATCGTTCTCTAATCACATTTATGATTTGCTCAGCATCATTCCTGTTTTTTAATCGAACACCGAATTTATTTAAAATGCTTGCAGCTATGGAAAACATTTGCATCATATGTGGAACAGTTTTATTAAAAAAATCTTGCCGAAATATTTTAAAGTCTCGTTTGAAGTACCCGTCAACAACTTCCACCACTCATCTGCATATGGTCACACAACGACTCCTGTTAGCTTGCTCAGTGGTGAGCGGATGTTCACCCTCAAGCAGGGATTCTGGCATATATGTTCTGTAGCTGCAAAAGTAAAAGTAAAGTAAAGTTACAGCCTATATACGTCCCACTGCTGGGCTCAGGCCTCCCCTCATTTCTGAGAGGGTTTAGGGCAAGGAAGTGTCCGCCGCGCTGCCCAAATGCGTGTTGACGAACTTCACATGTCTTCGAAATATTTAATTCTTATTCCTCAGACATGCAGGTTTCCTCACGATGTTTTCCTTCACCGTAGCTGCAAGCCTCTAACAAACTAATTGAATCTCTAAATCCCTTGTCGAGGTTGCGGTTTAGACGCCAATCCATGTGCCGCACTATATAGATTTAAATTATAATGTTCATTGAAAAAATTCAACACAGTCAAATACGTATTAGGTGGGAGGATTTTTTTTAAATAGAATGAGTATGACAAACACGACCAAAGCCTGGCCTTATCCTATGTCGCCTATGATGGAATGCCTCGTTTTCAGTAAAAAGTGTTACCGTTTCTCTAGATTCACTATACGCTGGTATTCTGTAAGAGATTTTTCTTCCCCGGTCGAGCTGACCAATTTTACTGGAAACGAGGCATTCTTCATATCTTAGTCCTTAGGGGTAGTAACGCATCTGCATTTTGATTCGTAATCGAGCATACATGTAGACGTCTATGGGCCACAGCATCCACTTACCATCAGATGGACTGTGATTGCTTGTCACCCCGTTTCAATAAAAAAAGCAATCATTACTATTCTAGCATTTTTAATCATATACGACGATAAACATGTTTGATGTCTCGGGGAATAAATATACAATATTTATTAACCGAGAGGTGGCAGTTAAGATAAATAATGATAAAAGAATTCATCCTTTTCTCTCATAAAGTTGTAGTTGTGAGAGGAGCCAGAAGTTTGAAATACAGGAAAAAGAACTTAATCAAAATCGGTTCGTCTTTCTGGGCTATGATGCCCAGATACACCACTGTATAACAACACCACTCAGTATTCGTCGGGGGTTAAAAACTTAAAATAAAAGATACATAGACTGAATTGGACATAGATATGGATCGATGATTGTATATTGCACACACCAAAACACAAAATAAGAGAGAGGAAAATAAAATAAAAATACAAGATGTTAGAAGGTAGCACAATGGGTGGTCTTATCCCTAAAAGCGATTTCTTCCAGACAACGTTAGGGTGGACAGGATTGTAAAATCACAGAAATATAAGTGTGTCGGTGATGCTTTAGTACGTTTTTTATAGAAAAAGTGACAAACAAGTACACAGTTTGCCTGGTGGTACTTGGATGCTCTTAGATGCTCTACATTTATTCTCGATTAAGAATGCAGATGTGTTGTGACCCCTGAGCAATAAGATGGAATGTCTCGTTTCCATTAAAAAGGGGCTCTCGTTCTCTATACCGACTAATATAGTAGCATTAAGCTACTGCACTGAGAGCGTGGTCTTACCCGGTCAATCGTACTGGTAACCTTTGGTTTGATCTCCTGTTTAAAATTAAAATAAAGCAATAAATGTCCAACTTTTTGCCTGCTAAGTACTGTAATATAAACTATGTTTCTCTTGAATTTATTTCGCTGTCTCAAGGATTCATTAATCTATTTTCTTTACAAATGTTTCATCAAGGTCAAAGTGTAGTGAAAGTATATCCAATACACAATTATCGTACCGCGGGTGTAATAGACGACAAGAAAAAAACCTATACCTACCGACATTTAAACGGTTAATCTCACCCCTGTCCTTCATCAACGATGAAAATGACGACGGTGATGAGGACGATGATGATGACGATGACTATGTCGATGACGATGACGATGACCATGACGATGACGATGATGATGACGATGTCGATGACGATGACGATAATGATAATGATGACGCTGATGATGACGATGTCGATGACGATGATGATGATAACGATGACGATAATGCCGAAGATGATGATGATGAAGAAGATGACGATGACGATGAGGATGATGATGACATGATGACGATGAAGATGACTATGACGATGACGATGATGATGACGATGACAATGTCGATGATGACGACGGTGATGACGATGATGACGACGATGACGATGTAGATGACGATGTCGATGACGATGATGATGACGATGACGATGACGATGATGATAATGATGACGATGATGACGATAACGCCAACGATGATGATGACGAAGAAGATGACGATTACGATGATGATGATGATGACGATGACAATGACGATGATGACGGCGGGGAAGATGAAGATGATGATGACGATGACGATGTCGATGACGATGACGATGACGTAGACGGTGACAATCACGATGAAAACGACGGTGATGATGACGATGTTGATGACGATGATGATGTCGATGACGATGACGATGATGATGATGATGTTGTCGATGATGATAACGATGACGATGATGACGATAATGCCGACGATGATGACGACGAAGAATATGACTATGACGATGATGATGATGATGACGATGACAATGACATATTTATATACACATATTGATTTTCTTATATTTTATTTTAGTATTCTTAGGAGGATTACCAGTTTTTTTTTATTTATTTATTTATAAAATCATTGTAAAATAATTTATCACACGATTTGGACTTACGTAAGAGACAAGTACAGGAAATGACAGAAACATTTTATAATTACCGGTAGATGGCGGTATAACAACCTCTTTACAATAAGCGTAAATATGTATAAAATAATTTATTACACGATTTGTACTCATAAGTGACGTAAGAAACAAGTAAATTACGGAGTGTTACTTCTACACTCCATAAAGTAAAGTAAAGAGTGTAGAAGCAAGGAGTACCAACTCCCAAAGTAGAATAGTTGAAAAAGTGGTCATCTGTAAGCAGTAAATAACAACACAAAAACTCTCCACAACAGCGCTGGAGTAGCTACTTGGATGAAATGAACTTAGCAGTTGTCGACGGTTTAAGTGTGCTGCTAAACTGCTCAGTAGCTCTACAACTATCTAAAATAATTTTATTTAGTAAATAAAACCTCGAAAAAGGCGTCTATCCCACTAATATTTTTCGGTGCGTTCTTTAAAGTATACCCCGTAGTTATAGTGGCGCCACTCTTATTTAACGGTTTTCTATGGACACTTTTTTAATACACAGTCTGTACTCCTTACTTCTACACTCCATAAGGTAAACGACAGAAACATTTTATAATTACCGGTAGATGGCGGTATAACAACCTCTTTACAATAAATGTAAATACCTATAAAATCATTGTAAAATAATTTATCACGCGATTTGGTTTCATAAGTGACGTAAGAGAAGTATAGGAAACGACAGAAACATTTTATAATTAATGGTAGATGGCGGTATAACAAGCTCTTTACAGTAAGCATAAATTTCAAGTAGATGGCGGTATAACAACATCTTTACAATAAGCGTAAATTTCCAGTAGATGGCAG